ATATATTTGGATATATACGTTACGATTATACGTCAAATATATAATATATTAATCTTTTTTTTTAACTTTTCTTTTTAATTTTAAAATATATTTGGATATATACGTTACGATTATACGTCAAATATATAATATATTAATCTTTTTTTTTAACTTTTCTTTTTAATTTTAAAATATATTTGGATATATACGTTACGATTATACGTCAAATATATAATATATTAACCTTTTTCTTTTTAATACTCCTGTATACAGCAATATTTTATTATACATGCAATTAATATTCGTAATCGATCAACGATTTCAAATTTCATTTCCAAAATTTGTCTCGCGCCACAAGCACGAAACACAGAACACGAAACGAAACGGAACACTTTCACCTAAAACGAGAGAGAGAAAGAGAGAAAGAAAGAAGGAAGAAAAATTCGGATCGAGAATCGTAAAACGAATTATCCGTAAAGCGAGACAATTAAACGTGTGTCTTTTACTTGAAAATAAAGGTAAGACACGCATGAAACGACCTGGGCAGGGGGCCATTGGGTCGATCGGTACTCAAGGGCGGACGAATGGCGGCCGCTCGTAAATCGAGGAAGACGAGTAGGACGACAAAACGGCCGTTTCCTTGCGAAATTCCGCGGCGGAAGATCGCCGATTGCGATTGAACCCGATGAGACATCCAGGCACCGTTATTCCGGCATGGTGACGCGATGGTATAGGCACCTGGTACGAGCTCCACACTGCACGTCTCTCTCTCTCTCTCTCTCCTATCTCTCTCTTCCTCTCTCGTCCCACCGCTCTCTTCCTTCCCTTTCTTTGTTTCTTTCGTTCTTTCTTTCTTTCTTTCTTTCTCGGCGGCGGCGGCGGCGGTGGCGGCGGCCAATGCTCGTTTCGCTTCTTCCACGTCGAAGAGGCAGAGTCTAAGCAGTGAATCGGCCACAGGTATATACACGCTCGTAGAGGGACACCGACGCCCGCTCAGGTCGCACTGTTCACACGTGCACCCGATTTTGCTCTCTTTGGGATCCCCTTGCTTTTCCTGTTCCCCCTCCCCCCGGCATTCCTCCATCCTGCCACGCCGCGCGTGTACCCCACCTCCATATCCAGATGATAATTATCATTTATTTTAACACGCGATCCCCGATCTGGGTTATACACACTACCGTACGGGGGCCCACCTTTATCACATTACGGACATATTTCTCGTTACGCGTGGATACATTTCGGCCGAGAAATGAAACTTCGTCCACGGATCGACGCGTAATTCGGCGTAACTCGAGAGCAGGCTTACTTAATTATATTTCCCGTTAGCGCCTTGATACTTATTTCTGACTGGCTGGATCTTTACTGCTACGATATTTCATTTAATTGTAAATATTATTCGTCTATTATTTTCAACAAATACGATAAAACTTATTCTAAAAAGTATAGCGATAAAGTAAGAAAAATAAATAATTTATCCATACATCGTCGCAGGAATATAATAACGAACAAGGGTTAATACGATTCAATGCGCGAACAATAATTTCACAAAAGATGCATGGACACCGCGGAAACAAAACAACCGCGCTTGTAATTATTCCACGGGGGGAAATATATATATATATATATATACACGGATTATTATGTATCGCGAAACTATGCGTAGAATGTAACGACCGGGGGCACCGTACACGACGCAGAAATTTCAATAAATTTTCCATACTCACAATCCCTCCCCACACACACACACACACACGTCACGTCGCGTATCGTAACATTCTCACGAGCGTACCCCTCCCCCGGCGTTAACTCCACCTGGATCCGCGAATGCTCATTAGCGTCAATTCGCGATCCCTTCCTCGAGAGGCGGGGAGAGGAGGGGGCGTGTGCGTGCTCGCTACGAAGAACGAAGTGAATTCGCGTGTACACTCGTCGCTTTTATTATTATTATTATTTCCTATCGAAATTATCACGGCGAAGGTGATGGGATTAAGATAAGTTTCGTAAATTTCGTCTCTCTCTC